GAAAGCAAACAGCGGCAGCGAGCTAGTGAGCAGGCGATTGAGCGATTGGCTTCTCCAAGGTTTGAGCTGAGTTCAACGAGAGCGATTAGTTGGTTGGATTTTATAAACCTAATTAATTGTATCTTGTTGTTTTGGAACATGATGAACAAAACCCTAGCGATTTATCTCAATTTCGTCATGAACTAAACCCCAATTTCTGAGGGAAACACCATAGGATGTAGCTATTTCTTGATTTGATGGATTGATTTATGATTCTTTTCTTCCAATCTCTATTGCATGGAATTGCTTAATGCTTTGTGTTGACTGGCCACCAATACAATGATTTGTAGTTAATTAGGTTATTAGCGACAGTGAAACCCTAATAACTGAACTTATTTCATGTGACATAGTAACTTATCGAAGCGACAGTGGATTAAATAAGGTGTTATGCGGTCTTAAATAGGATATCGATCTTCAGACTATATAGTTAATTCATTGAGCTACGACAGTAGGATTTGAATTGATTATATAGTACGTAGTAATTCCCGACAGGGATAGCTAGCACATTCGTGATATCCTGGCTGTAGAGAGTTGGATTAAACTGATTGGAATATGTGAATTAATCTGGATAGGATAGGTAGTGAATCCCGGTGTTTCTCCCAGAGCTTCTCCCATTGAATTTCTCCCGACAAGTTTACTTTGCTTAATTAGTTTAATTATTTTGCTTTTAGAAATTAGTTTATATCTCAAACCATTTTCACTTATAGTTTGCTCATAAATTTGATAGAATATAAGGTTGTACCAGTCCCTGAGAGACGATACCCGGACTTTCCGGTTTACTACGTGATAGGAATTGAAGCTATACGCTTTTGCCCTATCAAGGGGTTACAAAAGGCTTTTTGGATTAAAGATTTGGGAGACCTATCTTACTTCCTTGGGCTGGAAGTATCTCGCAGTAAAGAATGTATTCTGCTTAGTCAAAAGAAGTATATCGTGGATCTGTTATGTGATCATATATGGAGGATTGCAAGCTAGTGAGTACTCCAATGGAGTATAATCTGAAGTTAAGCATAGATGCAGGTGAGAAGTGAGAGACAGTTCGAAATATCGGAGTATAGTTGGGAGTTTAATCTATCTATCTGGACTCGACCTAATATTTCGTATGCAGTACAGCTGGTCAGTCAATTTATGGGAGATCCTCGGGATGATCATTTCGCTGCAGTGTATCGTATTCTCAGATATTTACAAGGTACAAAGGAAGTGGGGATCTATTTTCCTTCTTTAGGATCGGCCACCTTGAGAGCTTATTCTGACTCAGATTATGCCAGGTGTGTGGACACTAGACGGTCTACTACGAGCTGGTGTGTTCAGTTTGAGAACTCGTTTATCTCGTGGCGGTGCAAGAAACATGATAAGGTATCGAAGTCTTCTACAGAAGCTGAGTACAGGGCGATGTCCGACGTTGCCTCGAAACTGACATGGCTAAGGAGGTTTTTTGCTGATATGGGAGTGAATTGCACAAGCCCTATGGATTTATTTGTGGATAATACCAGTGCAATTCGGATAGCAGAGAACCCAGTGCTGCACGATCGGACGAAGCATATAGAGATTCAAGTGCATTACGTTCGGGATGAAGTTCGGGACGGTTCCATTGCTCTACACTACATACGTACTGAAGATCAGGTTGTAGACTTGCTCACGAAGGCTTTCTCAAGCAGTCTTAGTACGTAAGTAGTGTAGCCCAATAGTCTTGTTAGTTGAGTTAGGCCCATGCAATCCCATTAGCCCACGTTGTAAACGTAGATGAGTGGTGCTAGGGTTCGGCCGAAGAAGGGTATTAGAGTGCAGCCTGTGGTCTCCTGTACGATTAACAAACACTATCAGTAAAATCAGTAGCCGAAGAGTGTTCAACCTCTTCCGTGGATTTGTCCTGGAAATTCCAGGGATACCACGTAAATCCGTGTCCGATTTATGTTTGATTTCTGTACTGTCTGATAAGCTATCATCTAGGAAAGTGAAAAATTGTTAACACTAAATGAATTTAGCCAATATATGTAACATATTGGACTAAAATCCAAATCCATATTCAAAATAAGTACAATATTCAAACAAAATGAAAACCTTCATAACATCAAACATCCAAAAGTTTATACTCAACCTAACAAATAATATAAGTATCTAAACTTTCATATTTGAATTCAATAAATAACATCAACATGTTAACTTCCAAATTCAAGAAACAAATCAAAAACTATTTTTGTTAATTAAATTCACCAAAACGGCGTTATTTTGTTCATAGATCGGAAATTGGCCATGTCAGTCGTACCGGAAGCATTATAGCCGGTTTTATAACTGACACTTGTTCAACCCGGTTGTAGTTAGTAAATACTCCGTTTAATACACATATATGTACCGTACGTATTTTATCCGTTAAAAATTTCTGTATCCGTATTATTGTAAATACGTTTCATTTATTTCCGTTCATTTGACGACTCTCGTACTAAAATCGTATAAAACCCGTATAACACGTTTAATATCCGTATTTAATGAATTAAATTGTTAACTTTACTATTATTTATATATTTTTAAATTTTATATATTTATGAATATTAACGTACTATTAAATGTAACATTATATTAGAAATAAAGTAAAATACCCGTACATATTTTATACGTAACCTTTCCATTACGTATTTTACTAACTATGTCCGACATGTCACTGCCCACTGCATGACAACCATACTGAGAACACAACATGCCAAGACTCTTTAATCTTCGCCTCTTCAAAGCATGTACCACCGTTGAAATTTGAGTGATTGAATGTGTTTTGAAGTTGGTCAATTATCGTATAATCCAAATACAAGCGACACAAAATGATAAAAATACAGTTGGATACAACCTAATATTTATATAAGTCATAATAATTATGTCAAATTACTTAATGGCCTATCTGTTGTCATTCACAATATTGCAAATAATTCTGCTTTTGTAGCAATAAAAATAGTCTTCAATTGGAAATGAACGTATCCTATTGGCAGAGTGTGTATGTTGACTAGTGAACAGTTTCCTTAATTTGGGCAATGATTAATTGGTGCTGTTTCATTAACGGTTGCTTATGATTTGGACAACTAATTTGGAGTATTTATGGTAGATAAATTAAATTTGAATATCTTGTGAAGCAACACTATATTCGTCTGAAACAGGCTACAATGACAACCTATTTATCCACCATTCGTTCTTTTTATTTTTAATCGAAGGTCAAGATTACGTCATGGAGTTAGAAAATAAAAAAACTAACCACACATGTGATTACTTGTCACAGACACAGACTTCCGGAGTCCGTGCGGCGTCTTGAAGTGTACTCATTTCTTAAGACCAGCCTCTCTCCATACGCATGCCAACTGGTTTCGCCCTGCCTTGGGCTCATCAGGGAGACGTCAATAGCCTCCGACCAGTTGTGCCTTCTATTGCAACGATCCCCTTCATAGCCACACCCTAACCCTTTATCCCTCTCGTGGTAAGACAACCAGATGACAACGTTCTTTAGACGATCAACACGGTCACAATATTTTGGGTCGTGACATTCTCCACCACTCGTAATGCAGCACGTCCTCGTTCTGGTGAAGAATGCTTCTCTCCGCAGCATGTATTGCAACATTCGAACCAATTGTGGGCGTCCGCATAAAATACCATCCTCTGATGGACAGGCTCCGTTCGCGTCTCTCGCGCTAGCCTGCTGTGCCCCGCGCACATACCGCTTCGCCCCTCGATATCAACCTTCACTCTTCGCTTATGCTGCACTAGTACCCCAGTCGACCTTCACCCTACGCTACTCCCAGCGTTTGTACCTCAGTCGACCTTCACCCTACGCTCTCGATAGCGTTAGTTCCTCGGTTGAACGACATTCTTGGCCGCTGCATCTTCAGTCTGTCGAGGTCCCCCACAACGGCGCAACACATGTGTATCTGCGTCCGGACCGCCTGATATGCACACCCAGGATCACCTCTCATTCGGGCACAGGTCGGCCCATACTCGACCTATGCCATACTAAGAGAGGAACTAGGCTCTTCAGCCTAACTAGGCTCTGATACCAACTGTCACGGACATAGACTTCTGAAGTCCGTGCGGCGTCTTGAGGTGCACTCATTCCTCAAGACTAGCCTCTCTGCATACGCATGCCAACTGGTTTCGCCCTGCCTTGAGCTCATCAGGGAGACGACAATAGTCTCCATACAGTTGTGTCTTCTCTTGTAACGATACCCTTCATGGTGTCCAGAAAGTAGAATACAGGATGCTCGCATATGGAAATGAGTGTCTAGAAAGTAGAAACCATAGTGATTGGAGCCCTTTCTTCTCTTTGGTTATTTCTTTCTTTGGACCTATCAAAGCTCGAACTTAATCATTTGACAACATGAGACTAGTTGGAATCTAGTCATGTAGACATAATAATGTTAGTGGTATCATTCATTTCGTCAAGAGGGTGCTCTTGGAATATTCCCCGTGGATGTGGAAAAAAAATTGTACAAAGAATGAAAGCTTAAGTAAAGTACATGAGAAAGGGCAGTGAAAAAAATTCGACTTTAAGGTTATGACCATGATAAGCTTTTGCTTTAACTTAAGCTTCAATTGCTAAGTACATATCTCTTTCACTACTTTTCTTTCCTTTGGGTGAAAAAAAAATCCCCTTTAACTTTACACCACATCCAACCTTTTCTTTTTATCCCTTCTCCATCTCCCAAATCTCACTTTCCCTTTACACATTTCCCCCCAAGAAAGAGAGAGAAAAGTAGTGAAAGAGATGAGACCCTTCCTTGTGTAGATCACTAAACCAAATTAATTAACCAAAAACTATGTCAACCACCTTTCCAAAAAGAGATGAGACCCTTCCTTGTGTAGATCAATAATACAAAACAGCAAAGACCCACCAAATCTCATCTCATTCCCCCCCAACAAAGCCAACCCACATAAACCTGATTCTTATCTAAAATTACCAAAACACCCTCATCACGCTCGGTAAATTACTACGATAGAGGACGAAGCACGTTGAACGGCCCACCAACAGCCCATGGGTTAATCGCAGCCATGGACCGATGGTGGTGGGCCGTTGCGGTGCTCATCATCGGCAACGGCGACGATCCAACCCTCGTCGCCGCCACAACAGGTGGTGATGAGGTGGATGACGGCGGGACCGCGACACGCTCACACGAAGGGCACATGGTGAGCGTGGTTGGTGGGGTCATCTGCATGTAGAACTGCGGGGAAAGTTTGAGTGCTCTCAGTTCCTGCACCTCTTTCTGCAACCGCCGATTCTCCTCCGTTAGATTCTCGCAGCATCGCTTCAAGAACTCGCAGTCCACCTCCGTTTGCTTCAGCTTGGTCCTGGCCCGTCTGTTCTGGAACCATACCTCCACTTGTCTGGGCTGAAGGCCCAATTGCTTAGCAAGTGCCGTCTTTTGCTTCTGGAAAAGAGAAAAAAATAAGGAAATTCCATAAGTTTTCTGTACGACTGAAAATACCCCTCCCAAAGTAAGTTTTTCTCTTATTTTCTCGCGAGAATTCTGTTTGGCTGCTGAGAAAAGAGTCAAAAGCTATGAATCCCCGTCGCTAGAAGTCAAAATAACGTCCTCTCCTCCGCCGCGAATCCCAATCTTTTTATTTTTTTTTTGCTCAGCTACCAAACAGACAAAAGAGAAGGGAAAGGATTTTACAGTTGTACTTACAGGATTGAGAGTGTTGTGCTCCTTGAAGCTATCTTCGAGAACGGCGGACTGATCTTTGGACAACCGGAGCTTCTTCCGGGAGGTGTCTCCGTCTTCCTCGTCGGCGTAGAGATCCTCTCCGCCGGATCCGGTGGTAGCTGGTTGATCCCTCTCGCTCCTCTTGCCGCTAATACTCGAAACGGTACTGTTGGGAGAAGAAACTCCGGGCTCCTCGTCGCAATCGGCCGTCGGGAGCCGGTTCACATCGATCCCGCGGAGGAACGGTATCGCCGTCTCGCCCCGGTTCGGGTCCGAATTCAGATCTGCATATCGGAGGAAAAAATCGAACAAATAAGTCGTGGATCTAGAGGAGAGAATATTAAAAAGCCGATTAGAAAGCAAGCTTGATTTATTGGAAATTTCAAATCTCAGAAAGAAGTAAAGCAAGAGACAAAGAGAGAGAGGAGAGATCCATTACCGGAGGAAGGATTGAGGATTTGAGCGGCGTGGTTCATCCCGGAGGAGGAGGAAGAGGATGAAACGGAAGAAGGCATGAGATTGAGGTGGAGAGGAGCATGGTGGTGGTGATGATGAGGCGGGAAGCTCAAGCTTAAGCTGAGCCCCAAGTCTTCCTTGTCTAGCATCTTGATGTCTTGTTGTTGTGGTGGCGCTACTGGTAACTGGATCTGAGAGAAAATTTTGCACATAGGGAGCGTTTTGCAGGAGGAGAAGGGGATGATTTGTTTGGGAGACAATGGGGGAAAAGGGGATTATATAGAAAGAAAGAAAGAAAGAAAGAAAGAAAGAGAAGGAAGGGAGAGGAAAGTCCGATATGATGACAAATGTTGGTGAGTAGGAGAGGCCAATTATCTTGAATCATTATTCATGCCTTCTTTGCCCACCTTCCATGGTTTTCTCTCTCCTAGTCAAGTAATAAAATAAAAGGGAGAGAGTATTTTTTAGAGTGAGGGTGAGATATTTAGCGGATTGAAAAAAGAGGGGAGGAGAAATACTCACTCTCAATACTCATAAGTCATATGTTAGTTTTTTTTTTTTTACTCTCACTCTCACACACTAAAATGATGAGCAGAGCAGAACTGGGTGGAGCTGCATGCCGCCTGGTCCCTGGTCCTATGTCAAATGGAATGACTCAGCCTCTACTCCTCCATTATTATTATTATTATTATTATTATTATTATTATTGCCACCATGCATTCAGTCAATACTACTATCCCCTTCCCCTTGTTTCGTTGTTGTGCCCTTCTTTTGGACATTTTTCATCTTGCTCAATCAATTTTTCCTACCAGCCTATTTCGTTTTTCCAGCTTTAACTTGTTTTGGGTGGCTTTAATGCGGTCAAAGTTTACACGAACACGCCACACTTCAATACTGTTTTTTTTTTTGCATGCCCGCTTAATAGATACGACATAGCAGTATAACAACCTATACAAATTCTATATCTACAAAGTACGAGGAGAATTCACTGTTTCAAATAAAACAGTCTAACGTTAATTGATATCAATTTGTATACAAATTCTTTATTTTATGGTTCACTTATGTTATTACTTTTTAAAAGAATATGAAAATTAATGATTTGTAGTGAGTTTAGATATAGCTAACCACACAATTCGACTCATTGTAATGAAAAAATAAACAATTTTTGCTTTCCCAATTATAATAAAACCGAAATAGACATACAATTTGTAGAAGGCATTTTGTCATAAATCATCAGAATAATAATAATTATTATTATTATCTTTGATATGTGTTCTGTAGGTTCTAACTTCTCATGATTCTCTTTGTTCATATCATGCCCTCTTAACACTCAAAACCGATCAACTTTTCTGGGCATGAAATTTATACCCAACTTTTCTTGGGTGCTAAAGTCTAAAGTTCAACCGTAAAACTAATGGTCCGCCGGGGGGAAAGTAAAAGGTAAAGGGTCTCTGTAATAAAGTGATTAACACACTTTCACATGAAGGAGAAATTAATTATCGTGTAACGGGGGCTTAATTATGTACAACTTATTATTAATGACACGCACGCGGGCCGGGGGAACATCACAAATCAAACACATTAATTAAGCGTTAAAATTTTTAAGCGTTAAATTGCAATAATGAAATGTAGTTGAAAGTTGAAACTAGAGCTTAATTATTACTACTAGTGTGTGTTACGTAACCGCAAGTGCCAATTTATTAAAGAGTTGGTAATATATATATATATATATTTACTTGCATGGTCAAACTCATCAAAGAATAGTAAAGAGGTAATAGTTAAAGAGTGGCTGATGTTTTGCTTTGCCAAATGGGAGTTGAGATTTACAAGTCAGGCAAACAAACAAGAGGTGAAGTGGGTGGTGAGGCGAACCCGACCCGGAAGGAAGAGGAATGGAAAAGGAAGAAGACAAGAGGCACGTGGGACTGGAGGTAGATGATTGCAAATTGCAATTGCAAGAGGCACGTGGGGTGGGACAATGGGCGAGTCGATAATAATCCACCCAAATTTTAAGGGTCCTTTACTTCCATAATTTTATAACAAGGGTTTTGTCATGAATTTGCTAATTAAAAATTCGAGATTTATTAAGAATTTTGGGCATTATGGATTTGAGGAAATACTTTGTTTGTTGAGTTATTTTTATCATGAATTTGATGAGGTGGGCATGGTTTTTCATCTTGTCTCCAACTCTTGGTGGGATTTATAAAACCGTGGGGCCCATGGATTTGGAGCTAAAAAAAATCCAAATCTGTGGGGCCCACAGATTATCTAAATATATTTTGACAAAGCAAACAACGGATTGTGTAAATCCATGATGATTGGTTTTTTGGTACCAAATCCATGATGCAAATCCTTGGATTGTGTGTAAATCCATGATGATTGGTTTTTTGGTACCAAATCCATGATGCAAATCCTGGAAGCAAACGACCCTAAGTTTCACCAAAACCATCATTTATCATATCCACCACAAAACCAACAACTCATTAATTGCGGTTGTAATTTTCGTAGGTTTATGACTTATGACAACAAAGTAATAGTCATATTTTTTTTTTTTGACAAAAGATAATCCATTAGATTGAAAAAGAATAGTTACATCCAGGAAGACAGCCAGGCCTTAAAATCATAGAAGCGGCACGTAGCCGGGTACAAAGAGAGGGCTTTTCTTGCCACCAAATGGGCTACCCTATTGTTACTCCGACCTACAAACCGTACACAGAACCCAGAATGGAAAGCTAAGAGATTTATAACTTTTTGCAGAATCACTCCCATCTGGCTATCATTTGCATCCCCCCGATTGAGTTTATCAATAATCACTTTGGCGTCGCCTTTAAATTGCATCCCCGAAAAACCCAAGCTTAGGCACCAATGAATTGCCTCCCGGAGCACCAGCAGTTCAACAATTTGCGGAGCATCAATATGCGGAATCTGAACCCCATGAGCCAGAACCGGATCACCACTCTCATCCCAGTGGCGGATACATGGACATTTGGAAGAACGATTATCCAATCCCCAGTTGTAGTTTCGTATCGAAAAAAAATTATAATTGGTAATCCAGGACACCCTTAAATTTGAACAAAATGATTATACTACTCTCGATAGTAGTTTGTGTAAGATTAAAAAAAATATAAATGGTAGTATGTGTTATTTGAACCTAGGACACTACTATTATTAAACATATTCTCTATGTTGCAACTCATTTCTTGTTCTATTTAAACACTATGAAATAGTAAACAAATTATTCTTTATCCCCAACTATTTTCAAAACCTAACAACTAAACTAATTACGGGTTATCCTTAATTTGAATTGGTTTTATAGTTACACGGTAAGAGTTAAAAGAGTCTTTCAACTTTGAGTTACATAAAGAACAAGGTTAGAAATTGAATATGCGATCAATTCGTGAAATATTGTCTAGTATGATATATAGATTTGTTGAGCAGTGACGACGTCGAGTATATTTTATATTCTTTTTCATAATATAAAAACACGTCGTAGCCTTTTGTTAAATTTGTACTAGTGATGTATTTTTTTATTTATGAATTATTTATTTTAATGATTTATTTTTCATTTTTTTTAGAGAGGACACCCCTATAAAAAGTTTCTGGATCCGCCACTGTCTCATCCACAATCACCATCCCACCCGCCGCATGAGAACCACATCTGGTCGCCCCATCCCACCTACAAACAGCCCGCATAGGTGTCCCAGATAACTGGCGCCCTACCGAAGGAACGTAAAGGGCTGGGGGACGATCGACAGGTAGGCAAACCCATTCTTCAACCTGTTGATTAAACTGACGCATTAAGGCCCGCATCCCAAACTGCTTCCCTTCAAAAACTACCCAGTTTCTCGATCGCCAAATCCGCCAAAGAATAGCCACCACATTCATAAAGAGAGGAGCCTGAGTCACTAAACTCATCAGACGTTTGAGGAAAAGTGGAAAAGTCTGCCGTGGCAACCCTTGGCCAAGATATTCCAACCCCGACAAATCCCACAGCGCCCGAGCCACGGGACAATCCAAAAACAAATGTTCCATAGTCTCGGATTCCGCCCAACAGACCGGGCACCGAGGAAGCACCTCTACCCCTTTTTCCCGAAGGGCCTCCGTGGTTGGAAGGACCCGATTCAAGATCTGCCAGCAAAAGACTTTTAGCTTAGGCGGGATATTAGCCTCCCATAATCGGATCCAGCTAGGTTTATCCATCCAACTCGCTAGCTGGCGCCAACGACCAGTACCTCTCTCAATTGTCACCGCTAAATGATAAGCTGACTTGACAGAGAAAACCCCATCAGCCGTGGCATGCCAGATCAATCTATCCTCTAGATTCCCCTTCGGTAGGGGATAGCTTTTATCGCTTTACACGTAGCAGGGTCAAACCACTGACTAAGCTTATCCTCCGCCCAACACCTGTCCTCCGGGTTGATTACTTCAGACACAGTGGCATCCCCCAGTAACAATCATAATAACATGGAAAGATAGGAAAAATATGAGCATGTTTGGTGGGTAATTATGAGAAATCATGTAAGTTGACAACTAAAATTAGAAATGTGTTTAGTTACTAAGATCATTTCTCTTATATTTTCAATGTGATACTTAGATTCTACGATCACTATTCTCTTGAGCATTTGCCCGACTTCACATGCGCCAGTTGTCAAACAAATTCTAGAGTAAATACAATTTATTAGGCAAATCATTCAAATTTTTATCCAAATCTATTGAAATACAAAATATTAGTCATTTGTTTGTTATTGTTACTAATTTTGTTACTATTTTCTTAGTTAAAGTACAAAAAATTTAGAATGTTGACTTTCATGTATCTTTTTCAAGTCATTATCATGTTACCTGATCAATATTACTAACAAAATTTCTAACGAGAAGTTAGCATTTGACTAATAATTTTTAAAAATGGAAAGATTAGAATAATACATATTTACTTTTTTTTTTCAGTCATCTTAAGCAAAGCTTGAACTAATTGCTATTAGATATCATCTCGAGTCTTTTTAGTGAATTTCTTATTGTTTCCAATTGAATTTTATGGCTCTGATGTGTTTTTACATTTTGATTTTTCGGAAAAAGATAAAAGCAAATGAAAAAATGTCGCTAACCAAAATTAGAAAAGAGTTCCAAAACGAAATTAGGAAAGGGAGTAAAA